ATTTTGCTAGATTCAGCTTATTAAAGCTGAAATTTTTCGACTTTTGACCTCAATTTCAGAAGGTGAGTATCCTTACTGAAAGTATTCCACATTTTGAATGAATTTAGCATGAAATTCCCCTAGGAAACTTGTTTTTCTTTCTGATTTTCGCAATTTCTCCAAACTTTTCCTTAATATCCCCATTTATTTTATGATATTGACCGAGTTTTCAAAGCAGTGTCTCAGATGATCTCGCTATTATCGAGAACCATCTCTGACACTTTTTTGAAGCTCGAAGTTGCCTTAATGGTTCGCTTTCCCATGCTAAAATTCCCAATTTCAATTTTTTTTCCCAATTTAATGCTAAATTCATGCAAAATGTGATATAATTTCAGTAAGAATACTCACCTTCGAACATTGAAGTCAAAAGTCGAAAAATTTCAGCTTTAACAAGCTGAATCTAGCAAAAATACTGCGAAAATGCGGCAGGAATCAGCTGATCGAGAGAATTATCGATCGGTAAGAGCCCAGAGCGGAAGAGTGGGTAGACGGTGCGGCGGCGTGTGTTAGAGCGCAGAGTGCAGAGTAAGAGACGCAGAGGCAAGGTTTTTGCGGCCATCCACCGAAAGGCAACTATCGGGCCGCTCGCCAGCGTGGCCTTAGGACCGCCCCACCGTCCGCTGAGAACTGCACTGTACATACGTTGCTCTACGTTACACTACATTACACGTAGGCACGGGCGGTTCATACACGTAGGCACGGCGGTCCACAACGGCACGTCCTCGTGCTGTGATGCTATACGTCCAGTAGGTAGGCGGGCGGGCGAGGTGGGCGTCCGGGTCGGTATGTTGCTGCTCGATAGGGCGCTATAAGGTGCCCTCCTTGAAAAAGGCGCTACGCAGCGCGCCTGTTCAATAAGCTTTACGCGTACTTCTCCATGCCAGTCGTATTGATCCTACTCGTCTTTAGAAAGTTATCATAGCCTTCGATAAGCAGGATTCGTAGTGCGGCCTGTTTCCGGCGAGAGCATGGGGGGGCAAATCGTTCCTGCGACGCTAACAGGCAACACTATTTACACACGCGATTCCAATTGCTGCTACAGAGTTACAGTACGCTGTTGCACCGGTTGCAACTCACGCCTCTGTAAATGAAATGGCGAGCTTCGCTATCTCGCCATTTCCGGTGACGAAATGGTACATTCTCTGCAAGTGCGGAAAGCAATGTCAAATGCGCAAAGGCATTTCGCTTATCATTGGATCGCGAGAAGTGTCTTTCAAACTGACGCTAGATGCCGCGTGCCGGATGGGGCTACCACCTGCAGCTCGATTCTCCACGCTACCCAATTCCGACCTTCCATTTTGCTACCATATTTTCTGCTGCGCCTGACCCAGGCAGCACACTCGGCTGATAAGAATGTGGTGCCGGACCAGATCATGCCTGAGGTCAAACTTTTCGCGCACAAGACGCCATTCCTATGAAAACTGTTGCAGGGAGACCTGCGCGGCTTTGGACGGTTTATCATCAGCAACCACGACTGGGAGGGGAATAGTGACAAGCGGTGCGCCTACCACTCGCGCGGTTCTGGGTTCGAACCCCAGGTCGACACCCGCCCGGGGGCCAACCAAGCCTTCTACCCTCCGGGGACGGTAAATTGGTACCAGATTCGTCTGGGAGGATAAAACACTGACTTGTACATCGGCTGGCCCCCGCAAGTCATTGTATAGGCCACATCGCATTCAATAAGCCACTACGATTCTGAATGGAAGTAGAATGCGTGCCGCATCCCACAAAGGGATTGATTAACGGCGAAGACTTTATCCTTTATCCTTTAACCACGACTGACGCTTTTTTCTCGCATGCGCGCTTCAGCAAGCAGGCAGAGAACGGTAGACGGGGTGACACTGCCTGACACGCCCAACCGTCCGCAGCGAACTAGAGTGTAGAAGCTCGTTAATCACGACATTTCACCCGTTAAAAAAAACCTCCATGGCATTATACGGAGCCACTCTAGCACGGTTGGTCACTAAGTACATATACTATGAAAATGAAACGTTTTCGTTCTTCTGACAATGAAGGTGCAGTGTAAGAATATGACACAACAGCAATTTATAAGACTCCTGGATGATTCGAAACCGTAAGCGTACTAGGAACTGGCCTTATCACATCATACGGGGGAAGTCCAGCAATAGTGAATATCACGATGGTAGCAGCCTTTTTATCCTTTGTTCTGAAAAACAGTGGAGAAGATTTGCAAGAAGTAATGATTTCTCGACCTGTCACCAGGGCATTGTTTTCGCCACCACTGCGACCTTAGCTCCGTGTGAGATGACGCACAGAAAAATCTTTCTAACCTCTCCAGGAGAACGACCGACAAATTCGAAAGGCGGGCCTGAGCTCAACACCTTCAGTGCATTCAGTTTCTGAATCTAGTGTAAAGTAACCAGGCTGAATGTCTGGCCCCTCATATGATATCGCAGAGAATATAAATGTATCTGAGCTTGCCCTACCACAAGCAAGTCGGTAAGAATGACAAGTTCACATCTGGAGCCTAGACGTTTATTGGCGAAAATTCTCCAACAAGACTTCGTGAACAAGGCGGCCCAACTTTGTTTATTTGTTTATTTACGTATCACGTATTCATTGCGCACGAACAACAAAGTAAGTGAACCTGAATCGGTTCAAACTGAAGGAAAGAAACAGCTTGAAAAAAACGCAACCTATCCAACACCGGTACACAAGTAAAAAGAAACTGCTAAGCAGAGACTTTTTCGGAAACCTCAGTGCCTTCGAAGACAGGCGAACATATTTCATTTTCTCCAGTTTTCTCCCGCATACATAGATATTCTCGTCTCCACTTTCCTTCTGCATACAAACATAGATATTCTGTCCGTCTAGCAGCAGCTACTAAAACAACTGGATTTCGCTTTGGACAAACAACTGCGGCAGCTTCCCGGTATGTTTTGCATAAGAATGGCATTGTGTTCCCTGTTACCGTAGCATGAAAGTTGCATTGTGATGCAGCTCCATATATAGGTGTTACTGAACCGCCGTAGGAGTCCCAGTTTCAAAAATTCGATTTACGTGATGATTACTTCGTTGTGGACGTTGTCTTAACAACTCTGGTTGTAGGCACACAGGGGGTCTCCGATATTTTACCAAGCCGCAATGCAGCGAGCAACAACGCTCGATAATCCTTGACAAATACTATGGTGATAACTGGTCCAGCTAGCGGATAAGTAGCCATAGCGATTCCAACAAAATAGCTTATGAAAAGCGGACTTTCAAGCCCGGAAAAGAAGAGGATGAAGGCAATGCTCAGAGGCGCATTCATTAGGATAGTTGGGCAGGTGATCTGAAACACTACACGGTTTAGAGATACTGAACTGAAGAGAACATGAGACAGTCGCAAAGAATGCCTCATGCATACCATACTGTCGTTACCACATGCTGTCCCACATGATTAGGTGAAGCACTCACCTGAATCGATAACAATAGGAGCAATTTTTTATACATTTCCTTTGTTCGTTTGCTCATCGAACTGCTCTTGAGGCACCGATGAATTTGCATTGCACAGAATGGGCTTACTTGCCCTATGATTAGCAGCATCACAAATGACTCGATAACAATGGTCAGTTTTTCTGGAGCGATTCCGTCCTGCAAATCCGGAGGTTTGTCACAGGAAGCCTAGATTCAGTCACTAAGTATTCAAAGGCGGTTATGCCGAGATTGCCGTCGCTATACCCCCATAAGGATTGAGTGCCGATAGCTCTAGCTTTTGAAAGTAGCGGATCAGAGCGCGATTGGATCTGTGGAGGCGATATGATTTGAGAGAGCTTTGCCCATGGTCAACTGTGTGCCCCGGATCCATCATATGCGAGTCGTATGTGACCTGAGACCTGAGGGTTAGGGTTGTATGTGCAGGTGTCAGCTTTGAAAAATCAAAGGTAACGCTGGTGGAACAGTGTCCTATCTTCTGCACATCGTAGGGTATATTTTTGCCTACTTGGAAATTTATGAAAAATCAACAATGTGTAAGTGGCACTACATTATAGTTACAAATTACACTTGTCTCATTACGGCAGCGCATTACGGCGGATAACCCGTCGACAGGCTCAGATCAACTTCAACCACATCAAGTCCCTATACATGGATCCATGTCTCCACTTTTCTTTGTGACTAGGTTTCCACATCCCTGTGATTTTAAATGGAGACAAGTGCATGGCTCATGCCATATGTGAAAGCTCCTCTGTGCCTTAGTTCTTACTTACCACGAGTAGAAGGAATGTGACGAAAGTCTCCCGAGGTTTGTGAACGGAAATGTGGGCGCTCTGTAGCTGGCGAACCCAACTATTGCAACTGAAGTATCTGAGCGAAATCCGCCATGGACGATTTTTAGCTGTAGAGCGCGAATCGGGCACATTAGAGAGCAGTTTGTACTTTCGTTGCTTCACCAGTTCCACTTCACAAGTGTTAGCCTGGTAAAACCTTTCAACTCTTGTGAGAGCTAGAGCAAGCTCGTTGAGCTACCACGGTAGAACCTACTTTCTTAGTGAACCCAGGAAAAAGCTGTTCAAATGGGTTGGCACGTCGATGGGAAGTACCAAAAGTAAAAAAGGCCGCCAACCCCCGCGGCCGAACGCTGCAGCGTAGCTGCAACTAAAATGGTGTGCATGGTATCAACAGAAAAACATCTTCTTTCAAAAGACCTATAGAAATATGCGCTGCGTCATGTCTGAACGAAGTTGCATCTACTCAAAGGTTGGAAAATTCGTGTTTGCCTGGAATTTCCCGTTTTATTTGTGGTTTGAAGCAGCAAGCTTAATGATAGTCCGAGTAAATTTCGTATGGTGCCTTCCCAGAAACCTTGAGTCATGGTCACCGCTTGGCAAAAGACGGTTTCTGAACGAGGGTATGCACTTCTGGAAAAGAAATGACGTTCAATGGAAGTATAGGGGGTTAGGTGAAACTCCTCTCCCGCACAAATCAGGTAGATTCCTCGAGGGATCGTTTGGAGGAGGCATTCGTATGGATCCTTATTCCTGGAAGGGAGGTCGTGAAAACACCGTGATTTTTGCGACGTGGTGCTTTAGCCTAACTGGACCGCAAAGTGCGCAAACCAGCATAAACCTGTTGAGGAATGAATAAGAAAAGTCTACTTACAAAGCTTGTTATACCAATGTACAACTTTTGATCGACCACGACATCATCGTCCCAGACTTTTTCAGCCACTTTCTGAAACTCATCAGAGGGCCACACTGCAAAATATATCATTGCAATCCAGTTAAGTACAGGCAGCAGATTGATCGCAGCTCCAGCAATTAAGTGCTTTCTCGACGAATAAATATATGACAGGTTGCCCCTGAAATCGGAAGCAATAGCGTAAGACAACGTAGTAAGCCCAAGTAGCAGCTACCGAAGGAAACCCCAGAAAAACTCTTTCCAGAGCCGCAGAGTTATAGCCATACCCGTTTTGTTTAACCAAAACAATATATGATAAAGAGTTTTTATAGGGCATGTTGAACGTGAAACGTTAATTTAAAAAAGCTACCAATCTCATGGTACGAAAATGCTTTTGCGATAGCTTACCTGCATAAACTAATGTATCTGTATAGAAAGTTGTTGCCCACAGCTACTAGAGTAGCCATGGTTGCTAGACACATGATAAAAAAGAAAATCATACCAGACGGCCACCACGTCTGTGCCGGCCCTGTGCTCAGAAATACGAAAGTGAAATTACGAGAATGGGGGATCTGGAAGAACAGCTATAATAGCAATAATGGTTAATAATAATAATAATAATAATAATAATAATAATAATAATAATAATAATAAATAATCCGCCACAAATCCTATCCGCAGCCTCAACGTGGCGTGGGGTTGAACGTGGACTGTTCCAAACCGTACCAATGCGGAGGGTGCCACGTCAGAGCCTGGCGAGCTACGCGTGGTTAAATTTCTTCTCGCCGAAAACAGTAATAATTATGGGCCTCATTCCCCTGAACCTGAGGGAACCACCGACAGGGCGACGTCGGCTGGGACCGCTCGGGCGAGGCTGCAAGAATCACAGGGCCAACGGAGATTTAAGTCGCCCAGGACTAGGATGACGATCTGTACTTTCAACGCACGGACGCTTGCATCGGAAGCTCACATCGAAGATCTGATGTTGCAAGCCAGGAAGATCAAGTACGACGTCATCGGACTGACCGAGACGAGGAGGCATCGCCCGCTACACGCCGTATACGAGACTGGAGAAGAACTGTTCCTCGGAACATGCGACAGCAGAGGCGTTGGCGGTGTGGGCGTCCTCGTCAACACGCACTTGGCCATGAACATCGATTCGTACGAAAGTCTGACGACCCGAATCGGACGTTTGCGATTGAGAAGATGTGGTTCAACTCCAGCTTTGACAATCTTCGTCGCCTACGCACCAACATCAAGCTACGACGAGGATGAGCTCGAAGCGTTCTATATGGAATTGGAGAAGTTCTACAAGGAAGATCATACCTTCTTCAAGGTCATCGTCGGTGATTTCAACGCTAAGATCGGACCAAGATGAACGGCTGAAGTCGTCGCACGAGCCGCAGGCAATTACCAGCTGACTTCTGAGCTTGCGAAGCTATGCAGAGAAGCGATAAAGGAAGACCTCAAGGAGAGAACTGGTGGAAGCCGCAGAGGCTGGGAAGAGCATACGCAACGCCCGCCGCGACTTCGCCAACTGTAAGACCAAGATGACCGCCCTCCGACGTCCGGATGGAACAATCACCGCATCCAGAAGGGCAATGGAGAAGGTCATCCACGACTTCTACTCGGATCTCTTTGACAGCCACGTCCACCTGCCACCATACCGCTTGGAGCAGGATGGATACGTTCCTGCAGTTCTCCCTTCCGAAGTCCGACACGCCATCTCGTCGGTGAAGAATCGTACGGCACCCGGTCCCGACAGGATCAGACCCGAACATCTGAAGAATCTTCCGCCAGTTCTTGTCAAAACTCTGGCTCGACTCTTCACGCGCTACCTGTCGGAATGCAAGGTACCCCTCGTGGAAAACCAGCAAGACTGTGTTGCTGTACAAGAAGGGAGACCTGTACGACATTGGCAATTATCGCCCAATCTGCCTGCTGTCTGTAGTCTACAAACTCTTCACACGAGTCATCCTGAACAGGATTGGCAGAACACTAGACGAAGGACAGCCATGCGAGCAAGCAGGGTTTCGAAGAGGATTCAGCACGATCGATCACATCCACACGGTAACGAAGCTCATCGAAGTATCGCGAGAGTACAAGATGCCGCTATGTCTCACGTTCATCGACTTGAAGAAAGCCTTCGACTCCGTTGAGACAGAAGCGGTTATCGAAGCCCTGGGCAACCAGGGTATTCCTACTCAGTACATCAGGATTCTTCGTGAGCTCTACAGCAACTTCACGACCAAGATCTCACCATTCTACAAGGAGATCATCATCGACGTGAAGAGAGGGGTCCGACAGGGCGACACCATCTCGCCCAAGCTGCGCCTCTCTCGAGAACGTCATGCGTCAACTGGAATGGGAAGACATGGGAGTGAAGATCGACGGTCAACACCATCTCCGCTTTGCTGACGACATCGTTTTGATAACACCAAACATCGAGCAAGCGGAACGAATGCTGGCTGAATTCGACTGCGCGTGTGGAAAAATCGGTCTACGGCTGAATCTAACGAAGACGATGTTCATGAGAAACGGATTGGTTTCTGATGCCCCATTCACGCTCAACGGAACGACCATCTCTGAATGCTCTAGCTATGTGTACTTGGTTCGTGAAATCGAAGCCCTGGGGAGCCTTCAAGAACATCGAGGGATTAGCGAAGAAGACGAAGAAGCTCCGTGCCCACCTCTTCGATTCCGCGGTCCTTCCTGCCTTGACGTACGCCTCAGAGACTTGCGAAAGCAGGATGAGCATGCGGTTGGCGTTATTCAACGCGCCATCGAAAGGGCGATGCTCGGAGTTTCCCGCTACACGCAAGTGAGAGAGGGAATCCGGAGCTCCGCACTCCGCCGACGATCGAAGATCAGAGACGCCGCCGCATTTGCCAAGGTTTCGAAGATCAGGTGGGCCGGGCACGTCATGCGTTTCGAGGACGACCGCTGGACCAGAGCGATCACCGACTGGATTCCACGGGATGTCAAGCGAACGCCTGGACGACCGCCTATGCGATGGTCAGACTTCTTCGTGAAAGCTCTGAACGAATGGTATGAAGTTCATCGTGTCCCTCGAGCAGAGAGAGTCCATTGGGCAACTCTTGCACGTTGCAGGGACGAATGGAGACGTTACTGGCGCCCGCTCGAGGAACTCGATGATCAACGGGAGCACAGGTGATACAGGTGAATAATAGGTAATAAATAATAATTAATAACAATAATAATATCTGTTAATGTAGTCTGTCATATGAGTCTCAAAACGAAATTTTGGAAGGATGTTTCAAAGAAAAGAGTGTGGCGCAATAGTCAGACAAACATCGCTCGAGGTGAAAAATCCTGGCTAAATTCCGCGGCTTCTTTCTTGTTGCAACCTCGCTGTTTTAGATTAATTACTGTGTATTCTTGTTTCTGAGGCTTCCAAACTTAACCATTTTATTACCGGCCTGACGATATAAAGCAGTCTTCCACCCCATTACACCTTGACGACAATCGCCGCTGCGTGGGACAATGGCGCTTTTTTTGCGTGCATGCGCTATGCGCCACCGGTGGCTCATGTTGTCGTTCGTGGACCACTTTTTTGCCGCTCTATTAATTGAGTGATTATTGTAGTGAGTGGTAGTCCAAACATTACCCCACTGAGCACCATGCTTAGCTCCACCCTCGACGACCACGCCCACTTCTTGGCGCAATCGTGATTTTCGAAGTTCCTACCATAACTCCCGCTTCTGTAGTTTTTTTTTGCATTTTTCACAGATATACCAATTCGCACAGTATACCAATTCGCAGACGGTCATGCCGACACACAGACGGTTCCGCCTACATTTTGGCAAGCCTGCTGCAGGTTTCGATTTCTTACATCTCGAAGGTCGACGCTTTCAAACCCACTCTTCACATATTGAATGTACTCACAGATAGACACTTGTACTGTACAATGATACCTTAGATCGCCCACTCAGCTCAGCTCACTATAGAGTGATTTTCGCGATTTCTAGCGAGTTCCTTATTTTCCAAGCCTACCAAACGGATTCGCCCACTCTGAGGGGCCCCGCTTACACTTCCAAAGTACCTTGGTCTGGAAGTGCAGACCTGCTCGTTACTCAGAATGAGCCAGAATGCTCCACTCTAGAAAGACTAAGAACGGCTGCGAAGCGTGCAATTCTGCAATAGCCACCAACTGAAGTAACAGCTCACAGCTCAGCTCCACCCATGTTCATGATGAACCAAACTGGCCTTGCGGCGCCACATAGCGCTAATGCTGAGAGAGGCTAATGAATTCGTGACTACGTCTATGAAGAGTAGCGAGAGTGCATAATTTCTTTACCCCCCCCCCCTCCCGCCCGTCGCCGAGCAGCCCCGACTCACACTCCTGTCGCTTTAACTCTGTCAGAACTTTTTAGCAAGAAAAAATCACCCGGGAAAATTGAGTCAGGGCTCGTGTGAAAGCATAAAAATGGCAACTGATATGATTGTGCCTATTCAACAAGAAAAAGCTGAGCAAGTGCAGCTATTCCTGGGCTCGAATCTGAAGTCTACAAGGTTCGAGGCCTTCACGCCCTTTCTGGCAAAATGAAAGCTCTAGTGAATTGCGCCTTTCTGGCACACGCCGGGCACGTCGCCACACCATTCACTGATAAAAACTGCTCGTCAAAAGGGAGATTTTCGTTTTCAGACGCTCGTCATTCCTGTTCTCCACCCCACCCCCCCCCCGTCTTCTTCAGTCAGGACTTTTTACCTAACCTGTAATGGGATCAAGCGGGGAAGACTCAGGGCGGGAGTGGCGCCAAGACTTCCTTTCTTAGCTTTGATCCTGATTGGATGGCTATTTCTCCTCAAATGAACTCAATGAACGTCTCTACCCGTGATCGGTGCTAGACATCAAGCCTGCGGGTTGAAACGCAATAAAGTGGAGCTGTAGTCAGGGCCCCGTGATAATATTATTATTTGTTGTTGCTCAGAAATTCTAACAAGACATCAAACCAGCACTGATAGCCAACTGATTTTGCTTTCGCGTCAGACTAGGGTGCGTTCATACTACGGCAGCTTCTACCACCATCGTCCACCTGGGACCATCAGCACTTCGAGCATCCGCTTAAGGTCAACTACTAGGAGGGTATAGCTATCGATCTACCAACGAACGGCAGCGTCTTCCAGCGTCTACCAGCTTCCACCAGCGATCAGCAGTACGGTATTGCGTGTGCTGTGGTTGCACACGCCTTACTTTCACAACGCTCAATCCAGCTGTTCCTTCCTTCTACTTCCTAATACTCCCTCAACAATCTGCTGCCCTCCTACTTTCCGTCTACATACTCCTGGTCGCTGGTGGACGTTGGTACACAGCTACATCGATATTCATACCCTGGTAGAGGCTGGTAAGCGCTGCCATTCGCTGAATCGATGTCTACATATCCCTAGTCCTTGACGCTTATGGACGCTCTGCTCGAAACGCTGATGGTCGCTGGTGGACGCTGCTGCAAAACATGACGCGCAGCTTTAGTTTGTCATTTTCAATGCATTTCATAGCTACTCTTGAACTAGACCCGTTATTCCACTGTGCTTGCCGAATCTTCAAAGATGGCTTTTTTAAAATCTTATCTTTGTTCTGAGACGGAGGTGGTGTAGTAAGGTGAAAGTTGGTGCGCCTACACTTGTTGGTGTCCTGGCTCGAACCCCAGGATCGGCACTCCTGCCACAAGCCTTCTACCTTTCGAGGACGCGTAAATAGCGCTAACCAGATTCGTCTGGGAGATAAGAAGGTGGCTTGTGCTGAGCTGCCACCCACCCCTCCCTCCCCCCTCCCCCCCCAGTCATAGGATACATCGCATTCAATAATCAACTACGAATCTGAATTGATCAACGGCTAAGACTTTATTCATTCATACTTTTATCTTTGTCTTGAAATTGTATCTGAACCGTGTTAGTGTTATGCATCTTGGGAACTCCGGGATAAAGCGGTTTTCCTATTAGTATTCAAGCGAAAGCGTTACTCCTTAGATCATGGTCATAAGTATAACGTTTGTATGACAGGTTACAAGGCCCACGAACAAATCCATTTTTGTATGCTTAGCTGTCAGCCTAAATTCGGAGACACAACTTACCGGTGCTAGTAGTAAAAAACATCCTGCATGTATAAGCTCTATTGTAGGTGATATAAAAAGCAAATATTTGTGATCATTCGTCAGCGTTTTACTGCGGACTGTCAGTTGAGAGAAACATTAGAAGTACGTTCGCCATTATACCAATGGCAGAGAGTGTAACTGCTGCGACAGTATAGCCGCTCATATGCTGAAAAATTTAAGTTAATCGATCAAAATTACAAAGACACACGTCGCACAGAGATTTCGCAGCTGATTTCAAGATTGACAGTCGGCAAATGGTTTTAGTAGGGATGGAGTGAGTCCACCCGACGTGCCACCACACTTGTTTTCTTCCTCATGATCGAACAATAGCCGACAGTAGGTCAGTACAGTCGGAGAAGGACCCTACTCCGCTCCTTCCTGACACCGCCCAGACCGACTGCGACGTTATCGACCGGAAGCTTCAAAGCATCCTTCCTTACCTTCCTTAAAGACAGCTCCCGCGATAAAAGTGTCATGCGTATAGTTTGCTGTCCAATTATGAAACAGTAGCTGTTAAGTAATTCTCCAGAAAAGAAAAAAAGCAAGAAGAGCCCTCAAGAACACGATAAGCAAAAGCGCGTCCTGACAGTCACACCTCCTTGCGGTCTGTGTGCAAGCCCTGGCTCACAAATCACGGGGAACGGTTAGGACTCCACGAGAGGTCAGCCTGCCGCCGCGACGCGGCAGAGGAGAAGTGGGCCTCGCGATGTTTTCGCTATCTGCGCGGCGTTTGCATAGTCCGTTAGATTTCCAACAGTCTGCTTTATTACTTGCAGGTGTGAAAACTATGGAAGGAGTGGGCCCGATGTGTAACTATTAGTATAAAGCAATGTCCATTTACATAGAAATAATATTTAGAGAATACATCAGCAATCTACAAATTCACCTTAAGGTGAACCCTTCTTTTGCATTCCTTTGCAAGGTATTGTAAAGGCCTAAGATTTGGCCAGACGGGAAAAGTAGGTAGTAGTAAGTAAGTAGTAAAGAAATACAGCAGTCTGTCGATTGCAATAAATTACAGCTGCCATTAAAATTTACGTCCAGTTTGAAATATTCTAGTTTTTGCAAAATGCCAAGCAGATTTACGTGATGCCAGAACTATGTGAAGGGACCGGGATCTTAATCGCACGACTGTATGGGTCTTGTCCAATCAGGGCAGCAATCGCCGCGCGCCGGCGCGATGCGAAACATGGCCGCTGCCGGGATGTGAGTCCTAACCTACATCCCACAAATCACTTATATCACATCTACCCAGTAGGGAGGATATCAAATCGAATGCGAAGGAAAGAATACAAAAAAACAGAAAGGTAAACCCTTGATGAAGAAAGAAGAACATTTAAAACCGGCTGTCCCGAATCAGGTTACGGTAGCGTGCATATATCAATAGACTCTAGTGGAAGTCGCCGTCGAACTCTTGCCACAAAAATCGGGTCGCTCGTGATTTTTACGCGTATAGTAGTCTTGCGAGATGCGTTGGAGTTGACTGTATGTGCTCCTGATTAATGAAATGTAATTAAGGAGAGCAGAATTATTCATGGGCATGAGCGCTGTCGGCGATAAGACATGCAATTCTGATTAATGCCCGCCGCCCCAATAAAGAACAACTGAGCTGCCCTCCGTCGGAGGCCATCTAGCAAGTGGGCGGTCCGCTCCAACTTGAGCGGGCCGTTATAGCTAGAGTTTGTCAGGCGGCTGTAGCTCGCTCTTTGCTGTAGATGTCGCGCAGAGTGCATAGACTCTAGCTTGGGGGCTGTATTACACACAAGGAAGGGCGAGGCGTTACTACTTGACGCGCGGGCATGTCTTCAATCACCAAAGTCATGAACGCGTCCCTAAGGTGATAGAAAAATTTTAGACTTCGCCACTTCTCAGGGAGCCATTCTGAAACGGGACATGTTTTTCGGGCAGATGTCCGACTTAGCCCCTCCCCTCCCCTTTTATTGGTTTCGGCGAGAGCGAAAGGATGGCGAGCTCCAGCCGCGTCATGTTCTGTCGTTGACTAACAATAGGCTATGTGGCAATCAGGGCACATCACCAGTAGGGGGGGAGGGTGGTATTCGGCCGCTACAGTGTGAAGACGGCACCAGGGTATTACTAGCCTCCCCTCCCCCCCCGCCGGACAAGCCCCCCCTCCCATTCAATCAGTTTGCCGGTGCACTCGAGTGCCCAGCTGTGATCCGCCTCACCTTCACATGGAAAGCGCACTCACATCCAAAGAGAAAGTACAGTTTGTCTTGGATCAGTCTTGGACGTTTGGTACAGTCCGCTCGAGAAAAGGTAATTGCTGAACCAGTAAACGAGACTGGTATTCTTGCCCAGAGTCAAGCCACCAAAAAGTCAAGTATGGATTTAATGCATCGTTGTTTCGAAACTATTTCACCAATGGCAACCAGACCTAATTACGATAGAGCGTGCCACAGCCAATCCAAACAGCTAGTAAAGTATGGTAAAAAGCTAGTTCCACTCCCCCATAAATACGGTTGGGATGTTACCCATTATCGTTTCTCCTTTTTTGCATCGTTTCCAATATCCTTGTTTGAAATAGTGATGCTTTCCGGCCCACAGCAGCGCTTCAATAGGAACCAACGACCACTATTCCAGAACACTGTGTAAGAAAACGTCAACAAAATTTCCCAGACCTCTGTCGATTCATCGAGCTGTTCGAGCGGGACCAAGTAACATACCCATTCGTCCATACACTGCGGTATAAAGGCCCAGTGGGTCCTCTGTCCTCCAAGGATCCGATCGTACCGTTTCAGAGCTTTCACGAAGAAGTCTGACCGTCTAATAATCCCACCTCCAGATGTTCGTTTGACATAGGGATCTGGTCTCGCTCTGGCCCAGCTATACTTTAAGGCAGAGTGCTCAGCCCTCCTGATCTTTAGAACCTTGACGAATGCAGTGCATCCCTAGCCCTAAGTCATCGTGGAGCTCTGAATTCACTCTACCAATTTTGTGTAGAGGGGCACTTCTAGTATCGCTTTATGGCCAGCTGAATAAACGAAAAGCTATAACAGTTTCAGTATTAGCGGCAGGGTACCGTAACCTGAGACGGCGCCCTTCAAGCTGAAGTCTGTCGTAGGTGCCTTACGAACATCAGCATTGACGTTGAAACTACGCCGATGATCTCCCTTGTCGGGTGTAAGAGGATTGGTGTGTTTCGGATGTCGCCGTGAGGATTTCGATGTGAAGATAGGCCTACTTTATCTTTCCCTTACCGTGCTTCAAGTAGTTTGGCAGTGGTGTTTGCTTGGTGCCAAACAATGCGGGGTAGAGACGGCTTTCTTGCGAACTTGGAACATTGGGAACATTAAATTGAGGTGACACTACGGTTGACTTATTCGCCTCATCGCCTCGAAAGATGGAATAGGAGATAGACCAAAGAGCCATAGCCGAGACGGGCTTTGCTTCAGCACAGTTCCGCTGTCACACCGCCAAGATATGACAAAAAAAATTATGTTAAAAACTCACCAAAAAAACGTTGTGTACAAGAGCACTTGGCACTTGGTCTGAGAGTCACGATCGTGACCTTGAACTACTTCCAGTAAGAACCAAGTCGTTTTTATATTCGGGACCCTGAATTACCTCCCCAATCTAACATCCAATGTGTAGCGAACTGAGTCACTACAGGGGGGGGCCAAAAAAAAGTCACTTTTCTTCCTTGACTTTCGAGGCGCTATAAGTTACACTTTATTAAATTCTGATCGGACATTTCTACCACCATATTCAACAGCATATTGTAATACTATCATGATACTCCGCCACAGCCTTCTGGACGAGCGCCATCGAGAGATTCTGCCACGCGACCGTGATTCGGTACCTGAGTTCAGCGAGATCGTTGATTTCTCCGCCACTGTAGACCACCCTGTTGAGCTCCGCCCGAACCGGGTAATTGAGGGGTTCAGGTCAGGTGACCTACTTGGATATTCCATCTTCTTCAGGTACTCAACGCCCTTCCATTCCAAGTAGGCGAGAGTTTTTCCAACGCCCTTCGATTCCATGTGGTGGCACCCAATCCTGTAGCAGTACAAAGTTTCCAAGAAGGTACGGGCGACGACATGTGGGGAGGATATTCTTCTCGAGTTGCTCGATGTAACCGCCAGCGCTCACCTTCAGTCCGGGTCCACGAAGAAAAATATTGGTCTTTCCATTCCAGGTACGTCCGGTCCATACCATCAACCCGCGCCTTGGCGACTGCGGTGAAGATGATGTCCTAGACCGTAGCGACGTTGTCGGAGCTGCTCGATGTTGGAGGTCTTCCAGATCGAGAGTACTGGTCTCCAGGTAGCTATCCATGGGTGACTCCATACTAGAAGTTTCGCAGCTGTTTGGAGGTGACATGAATTCCAAAGGTCTTCTCCAGTCAGGCTGCGACTGGAGATGACTTCATATTTTGGTGTACATGAAGGTGATGGGCGAGAGCCAGCTCCTGCTTATCATCTTGGGTATCTTCCGGTACTCGTATCCACGTCCTCTGTCTGGGCTGCGAAAACTTTGCTGATATGTGATAGTGATATGTGATATATGATAGTTTGCCAAATGTTATCCTCACTAAGATGACCTCGTTGGAATACGTGCCCAGATCACTGCTTTTTCACGGCTATTTTGACAGCTTGGAACTTTTCGCCTTCACAATCCAACTAAGCGTGCAGTTAAATTTTGTAAGTTGGGGAAGCACTTGTGGAAGAATATTCCGGTCTGGAGTAGGTGTGATAGATCTTCTTTTTTGTGATTTTTGTTACTCTTGCTTGATTAATGCAGTAATTATAGGCACCGAATGCAAATTTTGAGTAAAATAAAATATTAAGAGCCCTGAAGAGCTTATAAAACTTGAGCTCGTTCATGTTCACCCTCCAGAGACTCATTTCGCCGTCGAAAATGCAGATTAGACACTTCAGAAGAGTACAGTGCACAAGCAAGCTTGCCAGCAAAACTGTTGAACAAGTTATTTGCTCCAAACACACGGCTCAGAATCGTACTGAATGAAGCTCAGGAATAATAGTACCTCGTCACACACAAAGAAGCGTTAGAAGACGAAAAATAGAGCTTCGTGCTAAGGAGATGAGAAGGGGGGGGGTGATGTGTCTTCCAGGTGTCAGGAAACCATCAAACCCTCTCGCCGAAGAACCTTATGAATCACAATCGGTATTCTTCACAATTGCT